TTCGCTACAAAAGTCACTACTGTTGAGAACTTCGAGGATATGTGGAAAATAGCAAAAAAATTTAACTCTGACAAACTTTGTAGTTTTTTAAACAAGTTTTTGTTAGACAACTTTGACACAATTAGCCAGATCAATGTTAGGTCTATAATGGAACTTGGTTTCTTCGATTTTAAACGATTGATCGTTTCTTGTGATCTGAATGTAAGGAATGAAGACTGGCTTTTAAAACTGGTCTTAAAGTGGGTTGAATATATACCAGAAAAAGACAACAATGAAGATGACAAAGACGAATTAACTGACACGAAACATGAATCAGCGAGCGAAATTATTTCTGATAATGCAAATGAGTTAAGTCTCATACCTACCGGGACAGATAACCTGAAAAAAATTCAGAGTAAAAGAATCCGAAAGCTTACATCATTATTGAATTCTGTGAGGACGTGTCTTGTGAGTACACCACTTCTGAAACATCTGCTAAAACATCGATTGATTATCAACAACACTGAAGCTAGAGATATTTTGATCGATGCTGTGTTGTATAAGACAACACATTATAACCACGGACAATGGCGAACAAGTGCCATACATCGAGCCTCGAGTGAGTGGCTGCATTGCGGTGTTCAACACATAAATAACGAAATTGTAATTGTAGAAGCGAATGAACCGAACATGTACATCTGTGTGCAGTGTAGCGAACTTCGTTTGGACGTAACTTTAGTTGTTTTCGATTCATATTTGTTCGCCACTGGGGTTAAAGATTCGGCCGAAACAAACAGCAGTTTGTATGTTTTATGCAGGAAATCATGGAAGAAAATCACAGAAATACCAGGGCGTCGATTGATCTTGGTCTCGTATGATCAGTGCATTTTTATTTTGAGCAAAAACAAGCCATACATTTATCAGATATTCCCGAAATGTGGGAACCCAAAAGTTGAAGAATTTTTAAAGTTGCCAGAGACAATCAAAGTTCGACAGGCTATAAATTATGAGAGGATGATTCTGATTTTCAGTTCTGTTACCGTAGATGGTGAAGAGAAAACTGCAGTTCATCAGCTGGGCATTCTAACAAAGAAGTTAACAGAGTTAGAACAATTGAATGGACCAGCGAAGCATCTTATCAGTTTCAGTGATGATGACAATACTTATATTCTACAAAAGAATGGGGATATGCACACTATTAAATGTGAACTTGGGAAAGTAGTTTTTCAGTTGATTGGTACCATGGAGAACTTGCCGAGGAAATTTCAAGGTGCATTGACTTACAAGAAAAAAATAATTGTTTCCTATCCAGTGTTATCAGTAAAGCAATTTAAGAAAATAAATGCGGATATATTGCAGGGATATTTTGAAGAGTTTTCAGCTTGGGGTAACGTTGATTCTCCATGTTCTAATTTTATTCCAGCTGTTCTACCAAAAAATGAATTGACCCTATTAGGAAAAAAAACAAACAGTTTTTAAACGACCAGTTTGCAAGCGAAATTGGGTTGTATTGTTTAATACTATCGGCCTTAAAAGTACAGCATGGCATAAAGTATCAGAAATACTTTTCTTTTAAAATATAGACATGTCTCTAATAATCAGAACAATTGCAACTTTTAAGATGATAATATTTGTTTATGCAACGAATATCATTCAATGTGCAAAAATACTTTTCATTTAGTTTACCTAATAAATAATTTGTAATACAATAGTATCGTTTAAAGGGGAATTTTAAACTTCTAAAAACATTTTCTCTAACATACATGAATTTTGAATAAACAAAGGTCTGCTACATTTGGTATAGATTAAAAATTGCATTTCTTTCGTCTTAACGGTTTTTATCAGTTGCGGCTTTCGAGTAACATTAATTTTACAGTATGCAATTTTACAGATTAGCTGTTTTAAATAAGATTTGAACATATATATATATATATATATATATATATATATATATATATATATATATATATATATATATATATATATATATATATATATAATATGCAACTGTATAAAAGTTTATTTTTTCAATACAGTGATACGATTGTATACACTCTAACAGCGCTAGTGTTAGTTTAAATCAGAATGATAAAGTTTGTTAGTAAAGTTTTAGGAACAATACGTTTTAAGCGCTAATATGTTCAATTAATCGACAGAATAGTAATTAATTTTATAGTAAATTCCGTAAATGTGACAATATTTTAAAATATTTATATTTAAAAACCTTTTTATTAGTCAACATCTACATTGTATACATTTTACACATGTTTTATGACTCAAGGTAACATTTTAGGTTTTTATATTATACGTATACTTTACACATATTGAGATTTAAAATCAACTAAAACGAATTGTGCATTTGTGTTCTTTTTTTCTGTTTTTGTGCTGTGTATTGTAACATATAAAATATTGTAATGACCTGGGCTAGTTCTTCAACAACCCGCAAATATGTATATTTAGTTCTGCCTCCTAGCTTTAGAAGTTTCAAAATTTTAGAAGTCCCAAGACAACCTTAATAATATATTCAAATGTCAAAGCTTGTTTAGATGTGATGTACAAATAGAGCGCCAAATAAAATAAGTGCTGAAAATTATTTTTATGATAGCATATGATATAGCTGTGCATGTAAAATAATAGAAATATAAAGAGTCAAAAACTTGCTTTAAAACTGCAGACCATACTTCTTTAAACAATGTGGACATATTATATGCATACAGTACTAGTCAAGTAAGAGCGATAATCTGTCTTGAACAAGGACATTGACCTCGCGTTTTAAGGCAGTGTTTTACAAAATTATTTATTTTTCGAGCGACCCACACTATTCAAGGAAATAAACGGGTATGGTATGGGAAGGATGTTCTATGTTTCTTTAGTCGATATATTTACCTACCACGAATATTTTCCGATGCTGGGATAAAATATAAATTATTGACGGTTATAATGAAAATGTGAATCATATTCAGAGTAATATTTAATTATACAAAGCTATTCGTAATTAGGCTTTAATAACATCAACAATATTAACAGGAAAGATGAAGCCTCTTGCTCTTAGTTATTAGTACCCGATTCTATTTATTTTAGCAGTATTCTTTAATCACCACATTCCGTTATTTGCAGTCCTTTTTTTTGTTAACAATATACTAAATACTATTTTTAAAACGAAATTGAAAACTCTGGAGATAAAATAACAGGCCTTTACCCAATAAACACATTTTCTTCGCGCTGTATAATAGCAAAATTGAGTTGTCACACAAATCCAAAATCCAACCCTCTTATGAGTGTGGCGTTAATAAAAGCCTCCAATATAATTCCAAACTTTATAAATACCATTTATAACAACCCCGCTTTGTTTTATTCTAACAAAAACGTCTGACGCCCTATTTCTATGAAAACTTTTTAAAGCACTTTAAAACTTTTAAAACTTATAAGCGTTGAGACAAAAAGTTTTGATATTTTGTGTATTTTATGGAAGCAGTATAACGCTTCTACAATATAAATTACTGTAAACGGTTAGACTTAAAAATGTACAATGTATGCTGTAGATGAACTAATAATTCCAGTTCAGACCGAACACTAATTATCAGAAGATGGAAAACCTTAGTTGAAAGCAGTATAAGTATGTATTTTCTATATATATTATGTTTTCTATTTCGTTCAGAGGGATAGAGGTTTGGGGTGGGGCGGTAGACACGCTTTGAAGAAATGCCCGAGAGTTGAATTTTTTTTCTTGTGTGACTGTCACTAAATTCCACACAGTAACAGAGACAAAAAAAAGACTAACTATGGCCTTAACATTACTCAAACGAAGAAGAAAAACTTGATACAGGGTATTACATTACTTAAACCCAGTTTTCTGAGTTAACCTTGGTAGTTTATGATTAAAGACAGCTTAGACGACATGTCTTGTCTCTGGCTTTATCTGTAGATAACGTCCTTACAGGTACACACAAGTACAAGGTAAACACTGACTATACAGGGGACGTAACTACGATATACATAATAACAAGGGACGTAATGATAACTAAAAACAAAATGTAACTACGTAGCATATTGTCAAAAACTTTGATGTTTAACTTTAGGGTAGTACTTTTTTGTCGTTAGTTATGTGGTTGTGTATATGGAAACGATCCACTGTGGTGACCCAGTGACCTCAGGGGTTAAGTGAAGATAATGGATGGATGGACATGGAAACTGTAACCATACATCTGTATATTTACAGGCTTTTTACAAGCTTTTATTTAACTCACTTCCTCAGTCTGTCTTCCTTAACATTAGTAAAGGTATCCAATAGATACTAAAGTGACCCACGCTTTTCTTTATAGTTGTTTAAATAGTAGTCTATAATTTATTTTCTAATTTTTAGTGCATGATTACATAAAAGCTTGTTATTAAAACGTTTTTTATGAATTTGTTTTCTTATTTTAATTCTATGTATTGTATCGCAGCAGTTCAAAATGTTTTTAGTTAAATAAACAAGTAATACACTTTGGCCAAGGGGCGGAGTGGTCTAGCAGTAGAGCGCTAGACTGCTAACACGAAAGTCTTGAGTTCGAATCCGGGTTCAAATCAGTTGGCCGTCCCTGAGTCCACCCAGATACTATAGTTACCCAACTCACGTTTGGGAAATTGCTGGCCACACTATTCCTAAATATACCGAGGTCACAGAAACAGGTGAACTGTACTTGACTTGCCCCATAGACAGTCAGTTTTGGAAGGGGACTTGGCTTTTTTAGTTTTACACTTTGGGTAAAACTATACTAAAGATTTTAATAAAATATTTTAGACGCGTGTTGATCTTAGAATAAAATGATAAAAAGATTATTATTCATGAAAAATGCTTATTCATAAAAAATACATAGTATATATTCTTTTACAAATCCAAAGACTTTTTAACTAAGCATACATATTTGTATCTCAAAGATGTATAGATGTAAAGATCGTTAGTCGAAAATTTACGCACATTAGTTTTGCGCACTATTATTACTGAAAACATTTGGGCGCGTTCAATTAAATACTTGTATGCACTAGTGTTGCCGTGAGATATTACGTTTTGTGTTTTTAAATTTCAAAGCTTCTATCGTAATGTAAGTAACACGATTTTTGTAGATTTATTATACAAACATGATCTAGATTTGGACGTTATAGATTCAAATATATAGCCTACTTTTGAGGATAGCCAATTCATCTATTCTAATAACATATTTGTATAAATAATGTGGTAAGATCAAATGATAATTCTAAGATTAAAATTAAATTTCGCCTTTTATTTTAATTTTGTCTCACTGTTATCAATCACATCCGGTTAGCCTTTTCCTTAACAATGACTATGATGCGTATTATACTTATGCCTTTTAAGACTGTAGACACGATAATTAAGCCTATCGTAAGGCAGAAAGTACTCCGTTGATTGTATTTAATGACAATGTGTAGTCGACCTATATTATTTCTAGTGTGGCAAGTTTAGCCCCTGCTTTAAGGGTAGGGTGTTGTGGTGGTGTGAAATCTAAGAAACGGGTGTATGTGAAGGGTAGTACTGTAAACAGTGTGTGTGTTTCTATGTGTGTGTGGGTCTATGTGTGTGTGCGCGTGTGTGGGTGTGCGCGTATGTGTGCGTGTGTGTTTGTGCGTGTGTGCCATTACTATTATATTATTGGATAGTATTGAATCTGGGTTTGTTGATGAGTACGGTGTTGTAAGGAGTGAACGAGGGTAAGAAGGGAAGTGATTGGCCGAGTGACAGCGGATGTGAGTTGTGAGCTGAGAGAAGAAGGATGTGTGTGACAGTGGATGTGTGTGGCAGTGGATGTGTGTGGCAGTGGATGTGTGTGGCAGTGGATGTGTTTGGCAGTGGATGTGTGTGGCAGTGGATGTGTGACAGCGGATGTGAGTTGTGAGCTAAGAGAAGAAGGATGTGTGTGACAGTGAATGTGTGTGGCAGTGGATGTGTGTGACAGTGGATGTGTGTGGCAGTGGATGTGTGTGGCAGTGGATGTGTGTGACAGTGGATGTGTGTGACAGTGGATGTGTGTGACAGTGGATGCGTGTGACAGTGGATGTGTGTGACAGTGGATGTGTGTGACAGTGGATGTGTGTGGCAGTGGATGTGTGTGGCAGTGGATGTGTGTGGCAGTGGATGGGTGTGACAGTGGATGTGTGTGGCAGTGAATGTGTGTGGCAGTGGATGTGTGTGGCAGTGGATGTGTGTGGCAGTGGATGTGTGTGACAGTGGATGTGTGTGACAGTGGATGTGTGTGACAGTGGATGTGTGTGGCAGTGGATGTGTGTGGCAGTGGATGTGTGTGGCAGTGGATGGGTGTGACAGTGGATGTGTGTGGCAGTGGATATGTGTGACAGTGGATGTGTGTGACAGTGGATGCGTGTGACAGTGGATGTGTGTGGCAGTGGATGTGTGTGGCAGTGGATGTGTGTGACAGTGGATGTGTGTGACAGTGGATGTGTGTGACAGTGGATGCGTGTGACAGTGGATGTGTGTGGCAGTGGATGTGTGTGGCAGTGGATGTGTGTGACAGTGGATGTGTGTGACAGTGGATGTGTGTGACAGTGGATGTGTGTTGCAGTGGATGCGTGTGGCAGTGGATGTGTGTGGCAGTGGATGTGTGTGGCAGTGGATGTGTGTGGCAGTGGATGTGTGTGGCAGTGGATGTGTGTGGCAGTGGATGTGTGACAGCGGATGTGAGTTGTGAGCTGAGAGAAGAAGGATGTGTGTGACAGTGGATGTGTGTGGCAGTGGATGTGTGTGACAGTGGATGTGTGTGGCAGTGGATGTGTGTGGCAGTGGATGTGTGTGGCAGTGGATGTGTTTGGCAGTGGATGTGTGTGGCAGTGGATGTGTGACAGCGGATGTGAGTTGTGAGCTAAGAGAAGAAGGATGTGTGTGACAGTGAATGTGTGTGGCAGTGGATGTGTGTGACAGTGGATGTGTGTGGCAGTGGATGTGTGTGGCAGTGGATGTGTGTGACAGTGGATGTGTGTGACAGTGGATGTGTGTGACAGTGGATGTGTGTGGCAGTGGATGTGTGTGGCAGTGGATGTGTGTGGCAGTGGATGGGTGTGACAGTGGATGTGTGTGGCAGTGGATATGTGTGACAGTGGATGTGTGTGACAGTGGATGCGTGTGACAGTGGATGTGTGTGGCAGTGGATGTGTGTGGCAGTGGATGTGTATGACAGTGGATGTGTGTGACAGTGGATGTGTGTGACAGTGGATGTGTGTTGCAGTGGATGCGTGTGGCAGTGGATGTGTGTGGCAGTGGATGTGTGTGGCAGTGGATGTGTGTGGCAGTGGATGTGTGTGGCAGTGGATGTATGTGACAGTGGATGTGTGTGGCGGTGGATGTGTGTGGCAGTGGATGTGTGTGGCAGTGGATGTGTGTGGCAGTGGATGTGTGTGACAGTGGATGTGTGTGACAGTGGATGTGCGTGGCAGTGGATGTGAGTGACAGTGGATGTGTGTGACAGTGGATGTGTGTGGCAGTGGATGTGTGACAGCGGATGTGAGTTGTGAGCTGAGAGAAGAAGGATGTGTGTGACAGTGGATGTGTGTGACAGTGGATGTGTGTGACAGTGCATGTGTGTGGCAGTGGATGTGTGTGGCGGTGGATGTGTGTGACAGTGTATGTGTGTGACAGTGGATGTGTGTGGCAGTGGATGTGTGTGACAGTGGATGTGTGTGGCAGTGGATGTGTGTGGCAGTGGATGTGTGACAGCGGATGTGTGTGGCAATAGATGTGTGTGACAGTGGATGTGTGTGGCAGTGGATGTGTGTGGCAGTGGATGTGTGTGACAGTGGATGTGTGTGGCAGTGGATGTGTGTGGCAGTGGATGTGTGTGGCAGTGGATGTGTGTGGCAGTGGATGTGTGTGGCAGTGGATGTGTGTGGCAAGCAGGTTTTGACGTATGAAGACAACAGGATAAAATATTGAAGAAAGCGACAAGTGTTGACATTGTTACTTGGAAGTGATTTGACTTAACCATCCTTACTCCTTGAGGAACATGGGGTCTCAACCATAAACTTCCACTTTGTCCGATTCCCGGCTAATTTTGCTTCCTTTCAAGACAATCCCGCTGTATTCAGTTCTTCACGACGACTTCGCCTCCACGTCTGTCTGGGGGGTCATCTTTTTCGCCTTCCCCGGGGGCGGGTGTCACATTAGTGTTGACCATTCGCAGTGTGTGTCCCATCAACCATCCAGCGCCACTTCCTCCTTATTTGCTCTTTCATGAGCTCCATCCTAGTCCTTCTCCATAGGAGAGGCACTCAGTTCAGCCGCCTTAATTTAAAAATCTGACACAATTGTTAAATTAAGAAAATAGTCGTTCTTAAAACACTGTATTCACACTAACGCACAACTTGTGATTGAGCACCCTAAACCCGTGAACCACGCCCTAACAGTTGTCGCCATCAATTTTAAACTTCATTGTTGTTTAAGATGACTTAAACAAAAAAACGTACATTTGTTTACCTTTAAATAAATTGCAATTAATGACAAAAGATAAAAAGTCTCGAATTAAATATTTAAGAAATCGTATGCGAAGTCAATGAAGTTAACAAAATATGAATGTACTTATCAAAACGCGATTGTTTAGTTCTTGTCGGACTTAGTGGTGACTGTTGTCTCGATGAAGGAATTACTTTCTTGAAAGATCTTGATATTTTTAATTATTGAAATTAGCTTAGACATGAGCAAATTTAATTGTTTTGTTTTGCAAACCTATGTTTAGAGTTTTAATAAACGGTTTTATATAGGCCTATTTTATGAATTTAGTCATTTTTTTAGTTAAGCTTCTATATATTTTGGGTATTAAACAAAATCACCGCAGACAGAAAAATGTTTCATTCGTTCATCGGTGTTATTTTAGAATTAGCTAGTTAAAATTAGGTAAAATTAAATATTTTTATATGGCCACATTGTTGCGACCAACTTTCATTTAACTCTAAAAAGTTTGCACAGTTCAAGTCATTTTATTCATTTCACTTTTATTCACCAATCAACGTAATGTACACTATGCTAGTTGCTACTAGAGAGCGTGAAAAAATATTTTGTACATACATTTGAAGGAATTGTGTGGTCAGTAATATGCCCAGCCTCCTATACCTTCTCTAATGTTAGTCAAGAACCGGACAGTACTGGGTAGACATAGAGACGTCCTGCAGACTCAAGTCCAGATCGAGACCCGAACTCGAGACTTTCCGGTTAAGAGTCGAGCGCCCTACCAAACAACCACACCATTCAATATTCTTTAACCATTTTTTTCTAGTTAATAACTCATCATCTTTTAAACATTATTTTTCAGATGTTCTCAAGTTTTTAAATTCTAAACTTTACTTTAAAAAAAATGGACGAGGAATACGACAGCTCTCACACAATTGTAAAAAACACAGAAAACCTTCTACAGGAAAAAAGTTTGTTGGATTTTACTGTACACGTTGAGGACGTTGATTTACCATGCCACCGTGTTATTCTGGCAGCGTCGTCAAATTTCTTCAGAGCACTTTTACTGTCTGACATGAAGGAGGCTAAGGAAGGTCGTGTGACAATAAGCGGGATTTCATACGAAACATTTCAACTCATCTTGAAGTCCATCTACAATGGGAAGATAGATTTGACTCTGGACAATTTTAAAAACGTATGGCAGGCAGCAGATCAACTGCAGGTAGATTTTATCGTAGCACACTGTGAGGATTTTGCTGCTAAAGCCATTACTGTCGAGAATTTTGAAAGTATTGTGATCACCGCTACATGTTTCAAGTCTGAAAAACTTCTGAAGGCTACAAAAAAGTTTTTGTTCGATAACTTTGACACGATGAGTGAGCTAAATGTCAGACCTATAATGGAGCTCGAGTTAAATGAGTTTAATGAATGGATAGATGCTCGCGATCTTAAAGTTAGGAACGAAGACTGGCTCATAAAAACAGTGCTAAAGTGGGTGGAGTATGTACCAGATAAAACACAAAGCAAAGACAAGGAAGAAGACAATACTGACCCACAACAAACTACAGAAAAAGAAAATCAAGTCGATAATGAATCTGAAATATGTTTATTACGAGATGAGAAAGGTGATTTGAAAGGTAATCCAAGTAAGAGAACTCAAGCTTTGACAACATTATTGAAGTCTGTGAGGACGTGTCTTGTGAGTACACCCCTTCTAAAACATTTGCTAAAACATCGATTGATAATCAACAACACTGAAGCTAGAGATGTTTTGATTGATGCTGTATTGTATAAGACAACACATTATAATCACGGACAATGGCGAACAAGTGCCATACATCGAGCCTCGAGTGAGTGGGAGCATTGCGGTGTGGTGTACATAAAAAACAATGAGTTCCTCATTATAAGTGCATTTGATTTCACGATGTACACCTGTGTTAAGAATAGTGACATATCTCTGGATGTAACTTTAGTGGTTTTTGACTCTTGCTTGTACGCCGCTGGGGTTAAAGAAGACACTGAAACTAACAGCTGCTTGTGTGTTTTGAGCGGTAAAGCATGGAGCAAAATTGCTGAAATACCAGCCCGCCATTTGATTTTAGTTGCATACGAACACTGCATTTTTATATTGAATAAAACGACTACTGAAATTTATCAGATATTCCCAAAATGTGGGAACCCAAAAGTTGAAGAATTTACTAAGCTTCCCGAAACCTTCAAAGTACAACAAGCAATAAATTATCAGAGGATGATTCTGATTTTCAGTTCTGTTACCGTCAATGATGAAGAGAAAACTGCAGTTCATCAGCTGGACATTCTAACAAAGAAATTTACAGAGTTAGAACAATTGAATGGACCAGCAGAACAGATAACAAGTTTCAGCGATGACAACTATACTTATGTACTACAAACCAATGGAAATGTATGGATTGTTGATCGTCAAGTTGGAAATGTGACATTTAAAGCATTGGGAAGTTTGTGGAACACACCAAAAATATTGTATGGTGCCCTGACAAGCGGACCAAAGCTCATAATTTCCCACCAAGGGGAATCCAAAGTACAGTCGGAGAATCTGAATGAGTTTACACCGCCTCTAGGGGGCTACTTCAACCAAGTGTCGTATTGGAGTGAGGTTGATGTGCCATGTTCCAATTTTATTCCAGTTGTGTTACTCAAAAGTGAATTGCTACCAATTTAAACAATATCACAACCATTACCCAATATGTGAGTATGGGTGTTGAGTTGGGTAAGTTACATTGTTGTATTTGAGACTTTGATTGTTGTTGAAGCACACGCGAGAAGACCACTCAAAACTTGTCTTTCTTTGTTTAATATTGACGACACTGTTTCTCTGGCGACATAGATTTAAGGTAAAAATTGATGCATCTTAAAGTCATAGTTAAGCCGGGATCTAATTTAGGACTTTCTTTGACGAAGGTATCCTGTCGTATTATTAATGGGGCCTTAAAAGTACCGTTTTTCATGAACGCATGTTGAAGTTTGGGTGCAGTATACATATTTTAAAGTGTGTTGATCGATGAAGGGAAAAAAGATACATGTGCCTATTGTTTGACAGTTGTGCAAAATAAGTTATATTCAGTAGAAGTAATTGGTTATTTATTTGTTAGATTTATTTTAAGTATTAGAAAAGGATTTGAAACATGGTGTTTATTTTACTAATTGTAAGATTAATATATAAATTGCCTAGTTAAAATATTTTTCCTAAGCCATTAGTAGTTTTAATTAATATACTTTCAACTTACCCCTTTTAAAAACCTAAACCATTTTAGAATTTTGTTTTAAAAACATTTCATTTTAATTTGTTTGTTTGATTTTTTAATTTGATCAATTTACACATTTGATTTACTACATTTCGGTAATAGTTCTCATTTTAATTGTTTATTTCATTTGTATTTGAAATAAAATGGTCGAAAACAAAATAATGCTTTTGTTTACTTTTTTACAATGTTAAGAGTTTTATTTATTTCGTCGTGTTTGTAATATACTTATCATTGCGTTAAAACATAAACTTGATTTGCAATATAGCTCTGGATGTCAAATGATAATATAAACATCGTGCACCATATTTTAATGACTGTAAGCATGAACACAATCATTCAATCATTAAAGCAGAGGTGATGTTAGGTATATCCAAATGTCGTGTTTCAATATTTTTTTTTTTAATTTAGATTTGTTGCAGATAAGTTGCAGTAAAATTTTGTCGTGCACTGTCATGAGTATCGACGTACTTGACGTGCAATTAACTAACAGTAAGACATTACGGCTATCAAAATACCTGAGTAGCTACAATATTCATTATTAGCATGCTACAAATTTTTACAAACAACTGCTTACAAATGCAAATAAAAGGACTGCCGGCAGGGATTCTTTAGGAGATTATTCTACGGTGGTAAGGGAGGGGGGTAGCTTAGAAATCCGGATGGTGCGTGTCAAAATATAAACGTTTGGGGGGGGGGACAAACATCGGTTAAAGCATATATTTTCTATATAAATTAAGTAATCTTCGACCGTGGGCGATGGAAGAGATAATTGTGTGTGTGGGAGTGGAGGAGGGGTGGGGGGAATTCTCCCCTTCCCCTTTCACCTTTGAAGAAATGGCTGAAATTCTGGGTAGTGTTTACATTGTCTCAAAAACAGTCCGTTTATAAAAATGTAGTTGCTGCCCTTTTTTCCCTCACAGAGAAAACACCATGAACGACCACACATAGTACAGTAAATGAAATTTCGTCTTATATCATTGATGTGCATATGCAACGTACCGTGTCTATTATAATTAAAGTTCCTAACCACTTTCTGGTGGTCATAAATAGTCTGAGTTAGTTGTTTACAGCGAATCTAAAGACAGAAATACTTGTGTTTGTGTGTGTATGTATTTCTGTGTGTATGTGCTGGGGGGGGGGGGGGGGTTTGGAGAGGCTCTACTTGCAGCAAGCCTCGCCCAGTGTACAAGTGCAAGGTTATTCACTGTCCATGCAGAGCTAAACGTCTCCTGCCCAGTACAACAGGCTCTAGTCCTACACTTTTGTTTGTACGCTGTATAAATTATACTTTTATTATTTCTACTCAAGTTGTTGCAACTATTTACCCTAAACATTGTTAACTAAATTCTGTAAGAAACCTGTGGAGCGTCCATAGACCATTGGCTATTATTAAATTGTTATCATATAGCTATTATAGGTCGTATGAGTGTATGTTATCTTACAACTTTCTATAAATAGTCTTAACGAATTTTCTTATGTAATGAGTAATTTAAACTATCAAAGAACATCAATAATTCTGTCGACTACATATTATTACATTTTTCAACAAGTTAAGCAACAAGTATTCGCAATGTAAATACCACCGTTATAAAACATTTTGCGTTGAAGTGAAAATATGTCCCAAACACATAGCATTACTTTATCAACAAGATACAATATGGCTGGGAGTATCAACAGTCCTGACAATGTCTAACTAGAAATACGCAACAAAAGTCATTAAATAATTATTTCTCTAACTAGTTTACAACAAATCTGAATATGTTGATTAAAAAAATACCTGTATTAAAGAGTCTTCGAAGGTATTCACTATTGGCAAACTTATGTTTATATATATATATATATATATATATATATATATATATATATATATATATATATATATATATATATATATATATATATATATCAGGGGCGTAGCGAGGGGGGGGGGGGAGGGGGGTGCGGAAAGCACCGGGTGACACCATTTAGAAGGGTGACACCAAGGCAAAAAATAGCAAAATATATAGAGAAAAACTTGAGGGAGGGGTGTGCAAATCGAAAGTTTGAGGGGGGGGGGGTGCAAATGAAAATTTGAAAGTTTGTCCCCGGGTCGCTACGCCTCTGGGGGGAGGGGGTGACGCCATTAAGTGCCGCACCGGGTGACACCCGACCTCGCTACGCCACTGATATATATATATATATATATATATATATATATATATATATATATATATATATATATATATATATATATATATATATATATATATACATAAACATACATACATATACATGTATATATACAAATATACACACTTTAGATATGTGTAAGATAGAATATACACTATTAGATTTTATGTATTCTAATCTAAATGAAAGTTATCATGTGGTGTCGACACAAACAATATTATCTTAGTACAAATATCAAAATGTTGAAACAACTAGTTTTGTTACATTCTAGTTGAATCAGTTTCATGTGTCTGTAATCAGTCTCTATTTAGATTCACCACTTAAAAAAAAGATATCACAGTACAGTTTAGTCTTTACAACCGTTCTAAGCGTTAAACGAGAGGGGAGGGATGTTCGGCAGTGTTTCTTTCAGACTGTTTTCTCCGTGGGAGGGGGGCACTTGATATTATCGGGGGTGGGGGGGTGGATGGGGCCGAAAATATTTTCCGGGGGGGGCGGCGGACACTGGTAAAAGTATGTTTTCTATAGAAATTCCGTTTCGTTCGAGGAGGGGGGGGGGGCGTTAGCAATGCCTAAAAGAAACTCTGATCATTGGAGTACGTGTATTGAATTTTCTCTTTCCCAAAATTGTGCCATCCGTCCCAATTTTACAATGCCCTAAGTGAGTCTGCCAACGACAAACCTGTACTGTTTCTAAAAACGATTGAAATTTGTTTAGCATAACATTAATTTATTAAAAAATTAGATTTTATTTTAAAAAGTGAGGATTTACAATTCTTATGGAAATAATTGTTTGAAAATAGAGCCTGTATGATTTTAGTCGCATGTTTAAAAAAAAAAATCAGACTTTGCACACCATGGCTAAAGTTTTAGAAAAAAATGTGCGGCTTTCATTTTGACAGCACAAGTGTTGAAGGAGGAAATTCAATTTCATGTTTTTATATTTTACATTTTTGTAGCTCTGTAACTAATAAGCTTTTATACTAAGATTCTTATACAAGCGATATACTCGGCTTACTGAGTAAAATGATCAGTATTTGACATAACGGACCTGCCATAGATTTAATGTTTCTTTGGTAAGTTTTAAAAAATAGAGAGTTATTTATTCAATAAATATCAAAGGATAGTAAGTTACAGTTACAATTTTGTTGTTTGTTTTCACGAAAAGAAATGAAACCGACCGAGAATAGTCACAAAATTATTCAAAGGCCCAATACATATTCTTAAAATCATACACGATGTTATTAGAATAAATATGGTTATGAAAATCTGACTGTTTAATTTTAATTAGATTCGACTAAAAGGTAGGACATAATTGATATATTTTTAAGGTTCGGTAAGTATGCATATTTTCACAAAAAAAAAAAAAAAGTTTCAAAACAATTTCTTTGTGAACATTTCATCACTGAAAATGACAACAAACATGGCTGGACTTGGTGATGTAGTTAAAAAAAATTGTATTAAAAAAATGTATCGGCAAAGTTATGAGTACAAATTTATATAAGATTTGATGAATAAATAAAAAAAATACAAACAATAAATGTCAACAATATGAAAATATGATGAATGGATTCTCATCATCTCAGTAGTGTCCATTAAGAAAATTACAATAGGCTATCACAAACATTATTAATCCTGATCTTAAAACTAATCGCAGTCCTGACAATTTGATAGCTATAGTCGTGTCTACTTTTACAACATATGTAACACTGCCTCAGTAGGGTTGATATCACCCACTGTATGTGTACTTTTTAAGGGGAGAGTCATCAGGTTTTGCAAAAAAATTTAAAATCCAGTGTCTGTACTATTTTTTTGTTATATTATGGGTATTAACTAAGATATAGAAATCTTATTCTGAGTAAAAAAACAAAAAATATGTATTTGAGAGGCGTATGAGGTGAAAATTATCTAATAATTGCTATATTTTTATACGGAATGTAGTTTTTAAACCAAATGACAGAATGTATACAAACTTCATATGTTGTTTTGAAATATATATATCTATTGAATGACAAAGGGATTTTTTCCTATCTTTATTAGATTATTTTTTATGAATTTTTGTCTAAACATGGTCTCGGAACGTACATTAAAAAATGAATACCATTCCTTAAAAAATTGGTAAAAAAAAAACTATCAAAAGAAACTAAATTCTGCTAGGACATTCAATAGATATATGTATTTTTAATAGCTGTGCAAAATTAGAACCCCTAATGATTGTTCATTAATGAGAAATTTTCCGTACGGTTTTGTACATTGCCGAAAAACACAAATGTGAGAAAAATGGAAAAAACAATTGCCAAGTCAGTTTTAGAGATAGGTTTATTGTTATTATCATACAATGCTTATATTTATAGGAACAATGTGCAGTGGTACACATAAATATCAGTTTATATAAAGCAAATGTTGTCAAATAAACAACCAGGAGTAAAATTAGAAACATGTACCCCTAAAAAAAGTTGTGGATTATAAAAAGGGAAAACATTTTTTTTTGGAGTTCACCTCTAAATTCTTGGCTATCAAGTATACCAACTTGAAAAGTAACCATGCCTTAGTTGATTAAATTAAAACTTGATGCTTTAGGTCTATTTAGCAATTTAAAAAAAATATACTAATGCAAAACAAAATGTAAAAAATTAAATTTTATCAGCAGCATTATCTAAGTAAAAATTAGATTTCCTTCTACAACTGCTAAAACCTGCTAGTGTTATCTAAAATTCCTTTTCTTCACCTTACACATAACTACAATCTTGTATTGGCCACTCTGGGTTATCCTCATCTGGTATCTTGGGTCATACAGGCTAGAAATTTCATTCATCAACCTCTGACGAAAAAGTTTAACTTTTACTGTTAGGAATGTCTATCTAGTTTTACAGTGAAAGGCATAAAGTCATTGTAGTAACACCATGATTGGCTTCTTTTGGATAGAGTTAGAGGTGGTGTGATGATTAGGCATTGGTTGAAGTTGGTCATCTATCGGTTAGCGATCTCGCCCACAGACCTTTCACTGCGGCCAACTTCATGACCTTGTTGGTCTAGTGTAGATTCCATGGCAGTCTTGCAGAAGTCTATAAAAAGAAGAAAAGATTTACCCTGAAATACATAACATGAAATTGATTGTACTCTCTTATTTATATAAACAAAACTCACTACTGTTGTATAATAATAGTACCAAGTTTTATCGCTCTGTATTTATAAGATTCTGGTAAAGTAGACCTTTGTGTATGCATAATTAACAAATACATTACCAGTAACTCCTTGAACTAACCTGGATATAAAAAATCCTGTCTCCATTTTGATAACAGCTGATATTCCATGCTTGCTAGTAATTTACCATGTCCTGTTGAAGCTTACTATAATATCCAGGGCTTCAGGTATTTAGAAAGTCATCAGGTGCAGCAATAGTTTTCCTCATGGTTCTGCTTTGCATGTTGAAATTGAACATGCTTCCTTGGTTGATCCCTGGATTACTCTCTTCTGTTTGGCAATGCCTATTTGTAGCCTGATCAAAGAAGAAGAAAAAAATGTTTCATTGATTTTATAACTACGACTACAATTACAATCTAGCTAGATCTAATTTTTATCAACTAGGCATATAGATCTATATGCCATATATATAATTAGTATTATACTTGCTAACAAAATGCACCTTGCATCAGTCCCTGGTAACTAGACCCAGATCTAAATTTTGATTCTAGATCTAGATTTCGTTAGATAGGACAAAAGTAGTTGAGACCTAGATACTAGATAGATCTACTCACTGATCTTATTCTAAAACTAGATGTAGAACCTGAGAAAAATATAGTCAAATATATGACCCTCTGCATAATTTAACATTAAATCATACAAATTTTCTTAATCCATCAATTAAGAGTAATCTATTTATTTGTTTATTACAAAATTATTACTTACCAAAGCAAAAACAAAACTGTAAATGAAAAGAACAGTGTCGATTCGCAGTACAAAAATGGCTGCCACCAGTTGTTTATTCTGGATACTGCGTGGCGGAAATGTAACTTCGGGGACGAAAGAGCTTCAAATTTTGACTCTTCAGTCGCAAAGTTATATTTATTTTTCACAACAACCAATAGAATCGCGTATATTTGAAATTTATAGTCTAATTCTCGAGTTTGGTTGAGTCTTTGTGTCCATTGCTATTTTTAGATGAAAATAGGTCATGATACTAAAAAAAGCAGCCATTTTAGAGCTTTCCATTGATGTATGACACATGCGGGTAGATAAAATATGAAGTACGATTATTGGGGCTCAAAGTAGACGAATAATTAGCTTTTTGACAAAAACTGAGCGATGGTTATGATTTTAAAATCATTTTTAAACATATTTTAATATAAAGTTGGCCATAGTTAGTGGAAAAAACGTGTTCCTAAGATGTTGAATTGTTTATTTCAATAATAATCGAAAAATCGATATTTTCAAAAGATTTATCGAAAATCCTCATGATGGTCCCCTGACCCTGAGAGTTTACACACGACGGAATGACGCTTTTGTTGTTAGATACTGGCTTTATTGCAAATCCGTATACGGCTAGTCATGAACACCCAAGACATAAACACCTATGTAGACAGTAGCCCTTCATTAGGTCTATATGACCAACTTAACATTGGCAACGGCACGTTCGTGTCAACAGCACCCTTGGGTCTGAATGACACGGACACAGGTACGAACTACTCAGAGTCCCAGAGGTCACATGACATGAAACACGGGGACGAGCCTCGATCATCGAAGAGCATGAAAAATACGACAGTTGCGGTCCCACAGGGGCCGCAACCAAATAAATTAAAACTTCGTATTTATCCCCCTTGACTGGTAACCATCTGTGTTACACATACTTAGCGTGTTATGATATAAAATGTTTAGCACTGACCAGATTGATAATGTACTAGCGTGCCCGTCCCCGGGTGTTGCCGCGGTCTCAGAAGAAAGTCTGACTGCTAGTCACAGGATAGCCCTTAACAAATTTCAGCCTGCTGGGGCCCGGGCGGACGCGCCTGATTCAATTTAGTGAAGAAATATAATACTAAATGTTATCCATATTACATCGCACTCTTTAAATCAAACGTATACGCCAAAGCGCTCATGGTAAAGCCCGGGGAGCCAATTAGCACCCAGCGAAGCGGCGGAGGTCTTGCCTGATTAGATTTAGTGAGCAAATATAATAACCCATTATATCCGTAGCCTATCGCACTCTTCAAAACGAACGTAGGCACCATAGTGCTCACGAAAAAGGTGTGCGCATAATCTGAATTTAGTAGTACACACAACGTCAGTTTAACGAATATCAAGTGCTAAGATAGCCGCTCTAGAACGCTGGGTGCGAAACTGTATATCAAAAAGTATCGCATCTTCAGGGGAGACGTCCATATACTTTTTAAAAAACATTTTCTTCTTAGAAATATTTTTGGGATAATTCTCATCATTACATACCTTACTTAGAGAAAAAAATCGCACCCTCTAGGTAAAATTAAAAAAAAAAGATTTTTATTTTTGCAGAATCCTCCTCTGGGTTATTTTTATCAACGCCCGGAAGTTTTAGTAGAAATTTAGTAATGCATAAATGACAAACGAAATAAACCGGAAGTGATCTCCCCTAAACTTTCTCGAATATTCTAATATAAAACTACGAGGGATGGCAACGCAGGTCATAGACAATATTTGTAATCCGTTTTTAATTACTTAAACTTTTTATAATAGAATAGAATCTCGTAAAAAAAAAAGAATTGCACACCAAGTGAACGCCTAATAAAATGTGCATAATAGTGCGGGATATTATTAGTACTTTATAAATTTACGTGCGTTTTTTGAGAAATCGGTAATAGCGTAAATTAGTACTTCTGGTCAACGGAAATTACTCAAAATTCAACAGAAGGTAGAGAATTAGATTTTTTACTAACCTGTGAAATTTCATTTAGCTATCTAAAATAGTACTCAAGTTATAGGCTTTTTAAAAATTCAAAGTAAAAAAAGTACCACTTTCGGTTATCGGAAATCGCTCAAAAATTGACCAGTATCTACGCTTTTTGATAAAATACAAATATATGAAATTTCATCAACCTAGCTGTAACGGTACTCAAGTTATTGTGTTTACACACACACACAGACACACAGACATACGGACAAGATTGCAAAATTATGTTTTTCCATATCAGTGAGGTGTAAAACGTCGAGATTTGTAAAAATCGATTTTTTTTTGCACGATTACAAGACTTTCTCTATACTATGTATATACGAGAAAGTAAAAACACACATTTCGTTTATATATATATATATATATATATATATATATATATATATATATATATATATATATATATATATATATATATATATATATATATATATATATATATTATACATTTATATCTGCATTATTTTTAAAGATGAAAATGTATTCACTTTAGTATCAACAAATAATATAATTTCATATTTTGAAACGATATTTTCAGATGCTTTGCAGATTCGAAGTTTAAATTCAATGATGGATTTTGAATATGACAGTTCTCAAACTGTTCTGAAAAACACAGAAAAACTTCTGTTGGATAATATTTTTTTGGATTTTACTGTCAAGGTCGATGACGTTTCCTTGCCATGTCACCGTATTTTTCTGGCAGCGTCGTCACATTTCTTCAGAGCACTTTTAATGACAGACATGAAGGAGGCTAAAGAGGGTTGTGTAAAGATCAATGGGATTTCTCTTAAAACATTTCAACACATTTTGAAGTCAATGTATACTGGAAAAGTTCCTTTGACGACGGATAATTTTATAGACATCTGGAAGGCAGCAGATCAACTACAGATAGACTTTATTGTTATACACTGTGAGGATTTCGCTGCAAAGGCCATTTCCGTTGAAAACATTGAAAGCGTTGTGAATACAGCTAAAGCGTTTAAATCCGAAAAAGTGTTGAATGCTTCAAAATCTTTTATGTTAAATAACTTTGGCATACTTATGAACGACAAGCCTATAATGGAGCTGGAAGTTAAAGATTTCAATGAATTGATTGATTCTCGGGATCTTAAAGTAGAAAACGAAGACTGGGTCATACAAGCAGTGTTACAGTGGGTTGAGTACGGGTGTGAAGAGAAATGCAGTGTTGAATATGAAGACGTTTACACTGACATTATAGATAACACTACAAATAGTTCAAATGATGAACCTGGTAAAAGTCTTCATGCAGCCAATAAACAAATGTTAAATAAAATAAATCAGAGAACTCAAGCCTTGACAACATTATTGAGGTCTGTGAGGACGTGTCTTGTGAGTACACCACTTCTGAAACATCTGCTAAAACATCGATTGATAATCAACAACACTGAAGCGAGAGATATTTTGATTGATGCTGTATTGTATAAGACAACACATTATAACCAGGGACAATGGCGAACAAGTGCCATACATCGAGCTGTTAGTAAATCGGAGCATTACGGTGTTGAGTATCATATAGAAAGAGGAGAATTTTTTTACATACATGTATTTGAAGATAAGCTTTACAAAAGTATAGGCTGTTTAGATGTATCACTAGACGTCACTTTAGTTGTTTTTGACTCTTATTTGTACGCCAGTGGTGTTAAAGACGTCTCTCAAACAAACAGCTGTCTGTATGTTTTTTGTGTAAATGCTTGGAACAAAATTACTGAGATACCAGGACGGCAGTTAATTTTAGTGCCATATGAACAATGTCTCTTTACTCTTAGTAAAAGTTCTACTGAAATATATCAAATATTCCCTAAAAACAGTAAACCAAAAGTTGAAGAATTTACAAAGCTACCAGAGACAATAAAAGCACAATATGCTATAAATTATCACAGGATGATTCTGATTTTCAGTTCTGTTACCGTCAATGGTGAAGAGAAAACTGCAGTTCATCAGCTGGACATTTTAACAAAGAAATTAACAGAATTAGAACAATTGAATGGACCAGCTGAACAGATAATAAGTTTCAGTGATGACAACAATACTTACGTGTTACAAACTGTTGGAGATTTGTGGCTTATAAATAGTTCAGTTGAACCAGTCACATTCAAATTGTTGGGAAGGTTATGGACAATTAAGAGAAAGTTGTGCGGTGCATTGACATACAAGAAAAAGTTGACTATCTTTGGTTCTGACCACACCAAAGAGCCAGCTGAACAAAAACTGCTGTATTCGTTTAAAGAGTACTTTAACTTTATACAATACTGGGGGACTGATGAACAATGTTCAAATTTTATACCAGCTACTCTATTAAAAGAAGAAATTGTGCCTTTCGGAACATAATTACAAACTATTGCTATAATTGCTATTGCATTTTGGAAGGGTTTGGGGGCTGTGTTTTGTGGCGGAGGGTCAGTTTATATAGCTTTTTTGTTTGATTTGTTTCCTAAGATTTACGGTTTCAATTTTTTTATAGTTGTGCTGCATACATTTATACTAAAATAATATCACTCTGATTGGTTGGATTTCAAGTAAATAATGCTTCATTTAGATTTGTGTACAAAGTAAATCTTCAAAGGGTAACACAACTGTGAATATTATTTTTGCTGTACTTTAAAAATGTATTATTAAAAAAAATGTTACTGATCAAAATATATCAGGCTCTGAAGCTGGAATAATGCAAAACAAATAGTGTTAAATTATAGATACGTGCACATGGGTAATAATTATAGGACAAAAAGTATAGGTCGCTCTCTCAGAACTGTGTGTTACAGAGAAAAAGCTACGTGTTGAGATAATTAGATGGTTGTCGTACAGCCGCTTAAAATGTATGCCCACGACAAGGAGTGGTGGCCACAAAAAAATGAAGTTGTTCTAGCTAATCAAGGAACACTCCTAGAAGGTGCCGTCTTCCCGGTGGTTGACTGAAGACTAATCGTGATTTAACAATATTTATTTTTAGGTACTCAATTTAAACGCCAAAGAATCTATGTGTGTTTAGCTGTGTTTTATCCTTTTTGTTAATTTATAGTATAGGAGGTTAGTTTTTAATATTTTGATGTGTTACGTGTTTTTATGTTCAAATATTTATATTTTTAGGAGGTTAACAGTTTGTATATATTTATTTTTACACTGAATATTAGTAATTCATAGTAGTGTAAATATTGGTGGTGAGAGTTTTGAGTAATCAATAATTAATTATTTTGTGTGTGTTAATTAGTTTTATTATCAGAATGTATAGAGTAGGATCAGTTGGCAGGGCGGGGGATGAGGTAAGCACGGATGGCACCTTTGGGGGGGGGGAGGTGAATAAATATTAGGGCAGATATGTGTTAACGAATGGTAAATATAGAATTGTTAAAGGGAGTAGGGTTACAACCCCAGTTATTACATCGGCTGACACTCGTCATTGTGTCGCCTCTGAGTAAATAATTTTATTTTGATACTTTCAATCAATTATACTTTGTTTTATACCTTTAATTTACCGTTCAATAAAGTTTACACCACAAGCATTTTGTTGCAGTTATTCTTATGTATATGTATCTTTTAGACATTCCTTATTTTAAAAAAGTGAAGAATAATAATGTTGTAAATATTTATGTCAACAGGAAAATAGCACATTTTCTTTTGCTAACATTAAAGAAACGAATTCTCAGTTTTCAACTAAGAGCAAGGAAGGGTGATGGAAACAAAATTACCAAAATGTTTATTTTTAAACCTAATTCTATAATATTTAGCACATAATTATAACACAAAGAGTTATGCCTAAAAATAAAAAAAAGGCTGAAAAATTCCTGCCGTTGCCATGGTGATGGCGGCCATCTTGGATTTTGACAAATAGTTAGGTTTTACTTCCTTGTGGAAAGAACTAGGTTTTGCACTTTTGTTAGTATCTGCATGAGAACCGTTTCATTTGACTTTTTCGGTTGACAAAACTCCACATATTATATTATTAATCTGTTTAACTTGAATTTTATAGCAATATTTTATAAAATTTGCGTAATAAGTAGAAAATTACTCCCAACTTCATATAGGCTAGAAATAGTCAAAGAAATAATTTCTAGTAATATAATAGTAATTTAGCAAACATGCTTATTTTTATATTGGATTAGTAGAGTCAGGGTGTTGTGGTGATTGAGGATATTATATTATTTTATATAAATAAATTACTATGCTATACACCACAAATCAGTACTGTGTATTCTTATCATGCAAAACAACTGTTCTGACTTTTATTGTTTTAATCTCCCTGGCCATTCCGCTTGACTTCAAGGAGAGGTTGAGGGCAGTTTTTGAAAATATTTGAATTGATAAAATAATTCTGAACAGCTTTTTAACGGCTTATATTCGATACAAACATAAATAAACCGGGAGTGATCTCCCCTAAACTTTCTCGAATATTCTTATATAAAATAACAGGGAATGGGAACTCGGGCTATAGACATGATTTTTAATCCATTTTAAATACTTAAAGTTTTAAAAATAGAATAAAATCTCGTAGACAAATTAATTGCACACCAAGTGAACGCGAAATAAAAAAGCGCATAATAGTGCGCAATATTATTATTACTTTTAAAATTTACATTAGTTTTTTGAGAAATCGGAAGTAGCGTAAAGTACTACTTCCAGTCAACGGAAATGACTCAAAATTTAATAGAAGGTAGAGAATTAGATCTTTTACTTACGTATGAAATTTCATTTATCTATCTGAAATAGTACTCAAGTTATAGGCTTTTGAAAAATTCAAAGTAGGAAAAGTACCACTTCCGGTTATCGGAAATCGCTCAAAAGTTGATACGGATCTACGATTTTGATAAAATACTTATATATGAAATTTCATCAACCTAGCTGTAACGGTACTCAAGTTATCGTGTTTACACACGGACACACACACACACAGACACACACACAGACACACAGACATACGGACAAGATTGCAAAATTATGTTTTTCCGTATCAGTGAGATGCAAAACGTCGAGATTTGCAAAAATCTCGATTTTTTTTTTTTGCACGATTACAAGACTTTCTCTATACTTCGTATATACGAGAAAGTAAAAATGAGTGTAATTTCTGGTTCCAAAACGGCTTTAAAGTTTACAAATGTAAATATAAGTTTATCGCTTGCCATATTTTTAAAAAACTTTTTTTTTTCAAAACTTTAATATTATAACATAGACTTTTTATGCCTATTTTGTTGGAGTAAATTCCTCCCCACATTACAATAAAGAACAAACAAAAAGAAGAGATCGATTCAAATAAACTGATATGTATTAGTACAATAGTATGGTAATAAATATTGTTCATTCTTAACGGTAACTATGAAATCAAATTTACAAGAATAGTAACTGTACGGAAGTCAATGATACTAATACCAACACATAATAAAATTAAATGCAAACAGTAATACTTAAAGTAAAATCGTTTATTTTATGTTAAAAAGAAAGAGAAAGCAAAACAATATTAAAATAAATCACACATATAAACCTACATTTGTACTTTCTAGTGTACAAACAGGAAATATTTTAATCGTTCCGAACAAATGAACACATATTTTGACAATTTTCGCCGTTTTACACCTTCTGTATGGTAGGAACTATAAAGGATGCATTGAATTTGATTAAAAAACAAATATTGATTTTGACTAAATTTTAGATCTTACTTTCTTCTGTAACGAACTAGATTTTGCAATTTTGTTGGTGTCTGCTGTGTGTAAGTAAATAGGATAACATGAGAATCGTTTCAGTTGAGTTTTTCAGTTGATGAAATTTTATATAAAGGTTTTACATCAAATTCGTGGTTTTATATAAAAAAAAATTGCATGTTCAGCTAAACGGATATGGTACTTAATCTTCTTCCAGTTAAAAGAAACCGGGAGTGATCTCCCCTAACTTTTCTCGAATATTCTTATAAAACATTACGGTGGTTGGCAACGCGGGATGTAGACATGATTTTTAATCCATTTTTAATACTTAAACTTTTTATAATAGAATACAATCTCGTATACAAAAAGAATTGCGCACCATACTTTTGTGTGAAATTTCGTTTATCTATCTGAAACAGTACTCAAGTTATAGCCTTTTAAAAAACTAAAAGTAGAATAAGTCCCACTTTAGGTTATCGGAAATCGCTGATAAGTTAATACAGAACTACAAATTTGATATAATACTTATATATGATATTTCATCAACCTAGCTGTAACTGTACTCACGTTATCGTGTTTACAGACACACATCGACACACAAACACACAAGGACAGAACTGCAAAACCCACTTTTCTGACTCGAATACTCATAAAACACCCGATTTAAATTAGTCCCCTATACTACGTGTGTGATGAAGTACTGAGGTATAAAACGGTAAAAACTGTCAAAATGTTATGTGATTTTTATGCATTACTTCCTTTATACTGTGTATACCAGAAAGTAATAGAGAGCATGTTAGTCTCAGAGTTAAACGTGAGGGTGGAAAAAAGGGAGGGATGTCATCCGTCTCTGTACAATAGTTCTCCCCTGTCTCCCATAATCATTGTAGTTGACAAAGTTTATTAATGTATCAATACATTAATTTTACTATTTAAAAAAAAGAAGTCTTCTACTTCTTCTTCGTTCTTAATTTTTAGTGTTGGAAGGGATCGAGCCATATCTGCCAGAGGGTTTGAACACGAGACTTTTTTTCGAATTATCAACCATGAGCTTTTGTCGACTCGACCACGCATCCATCACAATTAAAGATATGTGCCAACTGGTTATGCGCCATCTTCCTCATTGACTCAGATTTCAGCCTGCTTTTCTTTTTGGATTTGCTTCCATAGCCTTTGTCCAACCAAGAACAAACTACAAAGCAGCAGTTGTCTCTTCTAGAAGAGTGGCTGTCCCTAGCTAACGAGCCTCATCTGCCCGAGGGTTCGAACTCGAGAGTTTTCGGTTTAGCAACCATGAGCTTTACCGACTCGACCACGCCAACCCCCTAAAAAAGAAGTAATAATGATAATAATTATAACTATTGTCTGAAATTGATATTCAGTCGCATCTTTACAAAAAAAACCGACTTTTGCACACCTAAGCTAAAATTATAGAAAAAAACTGTTTTGCTTCCATTTGACAGCACCGGTGTTGAATGAGGAAATTAAATTTCATGTTTTTTATTTCTTACAATTTTTAAACGCAGTAGGCTTCATTTAATATATTTTTATACAAATATTCTTATACAAGCAATATACAGGGCCTATAGCTTACTGTTTTCTATATATTTATAGTTCAGATCTTATATCTCTTTTGCTTAGTTAACAATAAAAGTTTAATTATTATCTTTAATATTTATCAGTGAATGGTAAGTTACAGTTAACGTTACGTTTTTTTTTTCATTTTTAACGAAAGAAAATAAATTTAAAAATGATAACTATTAAATACAGTAGTTTACGAAAAACACATTAAAAGTAAAATATTTAAAATTATTTAGTCTACTTTTATGGAAGCAGCTAAAATATAAACTAATAATTATTTTACTTGTATAGTTATATCAAATGTTGCACTTACATGAAGATTAAATACATCCCCTCTCGTTTATAGCCTCTCCCTGAATTCTAAAACTTTTCCTTTTTTGAAGTTAACAAAAAAAAAGCTATCGAGATTCCCATTTTAATTTCTACACGTAGACTGTTTTAAATAAGTAATTTCTACTTCAGTCGTTGATCACTTCCTCGAAATCTATTTCCCGTTAGGCCTAGTGAAAAAAAAACTTAAGTAGGTTTAAAAACCCCATGTGGAGATGCGTTATAAAACACGGCTCTTATAAATAAAATTTAAAAAATACATAACTATTGTAACAAAAACCCAGTGTATATATGATTCTGTTTTTAAAAGGCAATCAAAAAAAAAAAGGAAAGTGAAAAATTAAACAATATAAATAAAACTGTATAAGCTTTAATTGGTACTAATGTTTAAAAAAATTAACAATAAAACGAATTTGCTGTCATCAATAAAACCTTTTATTTATAAAATATGTTACATATTTTATAAGCAAAAAATAATATTTAATATAAAAAACTAATGTTTCCAATTTTTTTCGGAAATTGTAATTTCTTATTATTTTTTTAAACTAATTTGTTAGTAATGGAGTCGACACCACATACGTCTTAAAATATGATATAACCCTAAAGTTAGATAGCGATCTCTAACAATATTCTGACCCTTCATAGTCTGTAGTCGACTCGCAGTAAAAAATCCAATTAGCAGTGATACTTTTTTCTCCTTGTTCCTCTAGCTAAGCGAGCGTTTAGCTCTTGTAATTTGTTCTGATGTCTTCCCTTTTATTGTTTGAATTTAGTATTGTCTAATTAGATTAAAAATGATACACTCTTACTTTGTCATTTAACAGTATGGTATCTGAAAATTTTAATTCTTCTTTTTTCTTCTTCGTTCTTAATTATTAGTGTTGAAGGGGATCGAGATTTATCTGCCAGTGGGTTTGAACTCGAGACTTTGTTCAACCATGAGCTTTTTGCCGACTCGACCACGCCTCCAACACAATTAAGCGTTACGTGTCAACTGGTTATGCGCCATTGAGGCCATTGACTCCGATTTCAGCCTGCTTTTCTTTTTTGGATTTGCTTCCATAGCCTTTGTCCAACCAAGAACAAACTACAAGGCAGCAGTTGTTTAATTTTGGAGTTGTCTCTCCTAGAAGAGTGGCTGTCCCCAGCTACGAGCCTCATCTGCCCGAGGGTTCGAACTCGAGACTTTTTCGGTTTAGCAACCATGAGCTTTACCGACTTTAATTGACATCGCTGCTTTAGAAAATGGTTATAATCGAGATTCACGGACTGCAATAAAACCATAAAAAATAAAAATAAACACACATAAAAATGCAGCCTTATAACAATTTGACCTATTTACATATTCCAGACGTTCGTTTAAAACAAAAGAATTTTAACTTTAAAATAGCCATTGGGCCTGCACTTTATAAACTCTTTTCCAATACTAATGAAAAAGTAATATATATTTGCGTTAGATAAGGAAAGTACATTTATGTTTACCTGTATTATTTAAAAAGAACCAAAATGTATTTACTTTAGTACTTACACGTAATACATTTTAAAATTGTAAATCTATAATTTCAGATGATTTGCAGTTTCTAAGTTTATATTCAATGATGGATTTTGAATATGACAGTTCTCAAACTATTCTGAAAAACACAGAAAAACTTTTGTTGGATAATATTTTTTTGGATTTTACTGTCAAGGTTGATGACGTTTCTCTGCAATGTCACCGTATTTTTCTGGCAGCGTCGTCACATTTCTTCAGAGCACTTTTAATGAGTGACATGAAGGAGGCTAAAGAGGGTTGTGTAACGATCAATGGGATTTCTCTTAAAACATTTCAACACATTTTGAAGTCAATGTATACTGGAAAAGTTCCTCTCACGACAGATAATTTTATAGACATATGGCAGGCAGCAGATCAACTACAGATAGACTTTATTGTTACACACTGTGAGGATTTCGCTACAAAGGCCATTTCTGTTGAAAACATTGAAAGCGTTATTAATACAGCTAAAGCTTTTAAATCCGAAAAAGTGTTGGATGCTTTAAAATCTTTTATGTTAAATAACTTTCGCATACTTATGAACGACAAGCCTATAATGGAGCTTGAAGTCAAAGATTTTAATGAATTGATTGATTCTCGGGATCTAAAAGTAGAAAATGAAGACTGGGTCATACAAACAGTGCTAAAGTGGGTTGATTACTGGCCTAAAGAAAAATGCATTGTTGAATATGAACACGTTTACACTGAAATAGAACATAACACTTCAAAAGAAAATAGTTCTATTAAACAATCTGGCAAAAGTCTTACCGCAGCCCATAAACAAACGTTGAATAAAATAAATCAGAATGAGAGAACTCAAGCCTTGACAACATTATTGAAGTCAGTGAGGACGTGTCTTGTGAGTACACCACTTCTAAAAGATCTGCTAAAACATCGATTGATAATCAATAACACTGAAGCTAGAGATATTTTGATTGATGCTGTATTGTATAAGACAACACATTATAACCACGGCCAATGGCGAACAAGTGCCATACATCGAGCCTTTAGTGAATGGGAGCATTACGGTGTTGTATATGTAATAAACACAATTTTTAATTGCATAAATGCATGCGAAGAAAAGTTTTACAAATTTGCAAGCTGTAGCGATATATCTCTGGACGTAACTTTAGTTGTGTTCGACTCCTATCTGTACGCCAGTGGTGTTAAAGACGTCTCTCAAACAAACAGCTGTCTGTATATTTTTTGTAGAAATGTTTGGAACAAAATCACTGAGATACCAGGACGTCAGCTAATTTTAGTGCCATATGAACAGAGTATCTTTATTCTAAGCAAATGCTCTACTGAAATATATCAACTATTCCCTAAAAGCAGTAAACTAAAAGTTGAAGAATTTACCAAGCTTCCAGAGACAATTAAATTACAACAGGCTGTACATTATCAGGGGAAGGTACTGATTTTCAGTTCTGTTACCGTGAGTGGTGAAGAGAAGACAGCAGTTCATCAGCTGGACATTCTAACAAACAAATTAACAGAATTAGAACAATTGAATGGACCAGCAGAGCAGATAATAAGTTTCAATGATGACAACAATACTTACGTATTACAAACAGTTGGAGATTTGTGGAGCTTAAACTATTCAGCTGAAAAAGTCACATTCATATCGTTGGGAAGGTTGTGGACTATTAGGAGAAATCTGTACGGTGCAATGACATATAGGAAAAAATTGATTGTCTTAGGTTCTGACCCAACGAAAGAGCCTGCTGATCAAAAAAGGCTGCCTTCGTTTAAAGAGTACTTTAACAGCATAACATACTTGGGGATTAATGTACCATGTTCAAATTTTATACCAGTTACACTACCGAAAGATGAAATGGCTTCTTTCAAAAAAATAATTACAAATTAGTGCTCTTGCATTTTGTAAAGTGATTGGCAGAAGGGTTGGGGCTGGGTTTTTTTTTATGGCTGTTGGTAAATTTATTCAGTCTTTTTGTTTCATTACTTTCCAAAGATTTACTTACTAATTTGTGCACTCGATGCATATGGAGTAAACTAAGAGCTGTCTGAATTGGTGAAATTTAAATAAACATTAATGCTTTATTTACATGCAGGGGGGGCTAAAATTACTTTTATATTTATATAAAGTACAAACACTTTTAAAGAATCACACGTTGTGATTATTCATTTATTATTACTTTTAACAAAAGTATAGGCCTAATTTTAAAAAAAAACACAACCTGATCAATATATTCCAGGTTTCAAAAGTGTAGTAATGCAAAGCAAATTAAGTACTCGAACATTGATGCAAAATTCGTACGGAAAAAGTATATAGGTCGCATGCTCACAATTTTATGTTTCCGAAAAACGTTTATGTTTTGGGATTAGTATTTGGCTGTCGTTTATCTGCCATAAAGAAATGCGCACAATAGGGAGAGGTGGCCATAAAAAAAATAAAGTTGCTCCATTTTAATCATGTAACACTGCAAGAAGATGCTGTCAGTCCAGGGGGGAACTGATGTCTTTTCGTGATGTAACAATACTTATTAGGTATTCAATTCAAACGCTAAATAATCTAAGTACGTTTTGGTGTGTTTCGTTGTTTTATAAATTTTCTAATTTTGGTGGTTAGTTTAAAATACATTTATAGAGTTCTACTGCAATGCTGGTAGTATTTCAAAGTTGTTTTAACTCGTATTGTTAAAAATTGATAACAGCGTTTAAATGTTAGTACTGGTAATTACTTTTATTATTAGAATGTATAGAGTAGGACAGGTAGGTGAATGACACCATTCAGAGAGTGAATAAATTGTAGGGCAGAACGATGATACTGAATACAAATGTAAAATTGCTGAAGTGGGTGGGTCACACTCCAAGTTATTACATCGGGTGACATGACATCCGACATAGTGTCCACTGTTACAGAATAACGATTTTATTTTTGATATTTTAAATCAAGTATACTTTTTTTGATACTTTTAATTTACCGTTCAATAAAGTTTACACTATGTATTTGATTAAATACCACAAGCGTTTTGTTATACTGTGTAATATTTATATTTCACTTTAAGTACCGTTACGCTTTGCGAGTGTTTGCTATGTTGTATTAAAAACTATAATAATACTCTCTCTTACATGATACTGTTCCGATATTTTAATTATGTAAATTTTTAATTATATCTTATGAGGGTCGTAACCAGGGTTAGTGAAGTAAAAACAAGTGGTTTTCTGTTTAAGGTCTGACTCTAATGTTTATTGTATTTGTCAAACAATCCGTGAAAATGTGGAACCGCAGGTTGTGTGTAGGTGTATTTTAAGAATGACGTGCTGTTGGTGTTTTTAAGGTAGCATTATGTAGTGCTCTTTTATTTTTCTATAACATTTTATAAACAAGCATTCATATGGCTATAAATACAAGTAATCTAGACAACTTATAAGAGTCAAAGCATTTAGCGAGGACGAATAATTGCACTTGCTATAAGGCATAAGGTTTGTAAGTATGTCAACAACCTCTCTTTCTTGTACTTGCTAGCTAGTATATTTCAAACCAATTGTTGCTTTCTTTTTAATCTAATTGGTAAATAAACCGGGAGTGATCTCCCCTAAACTTTCTCGAATATTATTATATGAAACAACAGGCAATGGCAACTCGGAATATAGGCATGACTTTTAATCCATTTTAAATACTTAACCTTTTATAAATAGAATAAAATCTTGTAGAAAAAAGAATTGCACATCAAGTGAACGCCAAATAAAGATGTTCATAATAGTGCGGATTATTATTAGTACTTTATAAATTTACATGCGTTTTTTGAGAAATCGGAAATAGCGTAAATTAGTATTTCCGGTCAACGGAAATTACCTAAAATTTGATAGAAGGTAGAGTATTAGATCTTTTACTTACAAGTGAAATTTCATTTATCTATCTGAAATAGTACTTAAGTTATTGGCTTTTGAAATATTCAAAGTAGAAAAAGTACCACTTCCGTTTATCGGAAATTGCGCAAAAGTTTATACGGTTCTACGAATTTGATAAAATACTTATATATGAAATTTCATCAACCTAGCTTTAACGGTACTATAACGGTACTAAAGTTATCGTGTTTACACATAAACACAGACACACAGACATACGGACAGAATTGCAAAGTCCAGTTTGTCCGACTTGATAACGCATACAACGCCAAAATGTTTATATATTTGTATTTATAATTTTTACCTGATTAAAATAAGTCCGGTATACTCCGGATGTGATGAAGGACTGAGGTGTAATACGGTGAAAACTGTCAAAATTCCATGCTATTTTTGTGCACGATCACAAGACTTTCTCTATACTTCGTATATACGAGAAAGTAAAAATAAAAATAAAACGGAAAAATTACATCCACTATAGTTAATTTATTTAAACTAGCATACTACGGCAATGATAGAATACAATGTTCATATAATATTAATACCACAGGCCTAGTGGTATTTAATTTGATTCTATTATAAGTAAAAAAGGGTTTGAGTGCTCTTTCTATTACAAACTGAATATACTGAAAACACAAGAATAATTACTTAAAAAACAAACAATACGCAACCGAATATAATAACGAAAATCATCCATTAAAACAGGTAACACAGGTATTATTGTAAATACACTTTATTTGTAATCAAAACCGTACATTAAGAACTGCTTTGAGTTGTTACAAGTAAGAAATGCTCTAACCTGTTTAAAAGTTTAAAAGTATATAAATTCCTTTTTTGATATATATTACAACTAGATGGTAGCTATGAATAATACAAATGCGAATATAATGCTCATCTAGTTATTTAGAAACATTAAATAGTTTTAAGTGTTGTTGAAAATTTAAAAAATGTAAATAATTTAGTAATATAATTTCAATAATCTTGTTGCTATACCTTTTTTAAAAAAAAATATATTTGCTTAAATGGATGCTAAATATACATATGTATATATCACATTCAATCATTTTTGTTTAAAAAATATTAGCTTATATTTAAGTCAGGATAAAATATTTTATTATATTGTAGTTTTCGCTGAATACAATTACACTTTTTGAAGTTTGATTAAACCTTAAAATTAGGGAGACAAAAGCATCAATAGCTCTAAGATATGCAATGCCTAACATGCTACAAATGGTAACAAACAATCGATAAATAGATTGGTTGAAGTCGACACGTTTAATTTTCATTTTAAGTGATACAGCAGTTCTTACTTCAGTAAAAGTGTTGTAAATTGTCTCTATATGATATAATACCTAACCTATACACCTGTATTTACAAAAAAAATGTTATAGATAAATAGCACACAGAGATATATTACAAAGACGATCAGATATAATTTCCAACTAGGTTCAATTCTCCCATGTCCCCCATGATCATTCTAGTTGACAAAGTTTATTAATTTATCAATAAATTAGTTGTTTTTTTTAAATAAACCGGGAGTGATCTCCCCTAAACTTTCTCGAATATTCTGATATAACTTGGAATGTAGACATGATTTTTAAATTACTTAAACTTTTAAAAATAGAATAGAATCTCATAGAAAAAAGAATTGCGCACCAAGCGAACGCAAAAACAAAATGTGCATAATAGTGCGCAATATTATTAGTACTTAATAAATTTACATGCGTTTTTTGGTAAATCGAAAATAGCGTAAATTAGTACTTTCGGTCAACGGAAATTACTCAAAATTCGACAGTAGGTAGAGAATTAGATGTTTTACTTACATGTGAAATTTCATTTATCTATCTGAAATAGTACTCAAGTTATAGGCTTTTGAAAAGTTCAAAGTAGAAAAAGTACCACTTTCGGTTATCGAGAATCGCACAAAAGTTGATACGGATCTACGATTTTGATAAAATACTTATATATGAAATTTCATCAATCTAGCTGTATCGGTACTCAAGTTATCGTGTTTACACAGACACACACACACACACACACATACACACACACACAGACACACAGACATACGGACAAGATTGCAAAATTATGTTTTTCCGTATCAGTGAGATGTAAAAAGTCGAGATTTGTAAAAATCTCGATTTTTTTTTGCACGATTACAAGACTTTCTCTATAATTCGTATATACGAGGAAGTAAAATAAACCGGGAGTGATCTCCCCTAAACTTTCTCGAATAGTCTTATATAAAATAACAGGGGATGGGAACTCGGGCTATAGACATGATTTTTAATCCATTTTAAATACTTAAAGTTTTAAAAATAGAATAAAATCTCGTAGACAAATTACTTGCACACCAAGTGAACGCCAAATAAAAAAGCGCATAATGGTGCGCAATATTATTAGTACTTTTAAAATTTACATTAGTTTTTTGAGAAATCGGAAGTAGCGTAAAGTACTACTTCCAGTCAACGGAAATGACTCAAAATTTAATAGAAGGTAGAGAATTAGATCTTTTACTTACATGTGAAATTTCATTTATCTATCTGAAATAGTACTCAAGTTATAGGCTTTTGAAAAATTCAAAGTAGGAAAAGTACCACTTCCGGTTATCGGAAATCGCTCAAAAGTTGATACGGATCTACGATTTTGATTAAATACTTATATATGAAATTTCATCAACCTAGCTGTAACGGTACTCAAGTTATCGTGTTTACACACGGACAGACAGACACACAGACACACAGACACACAGACAGACACACAGACATACGGACAAGATTGCAAAATTGTGTTTTTCCGTATCAGTGAGGTGTGAAACGTCGAGATTTGTAAAAATCTCGATTTTTTTTTTTTGCACGATTACAAGACTTTCTCTATACTTCGTATATACGAGAAAGTAAAAAGGTGAAGACAATAACTATTGTCTAAAATTTATAGTCAGTGGCATCTTAACAAAAAACCGACTTTTGCACACCTAAGCTAAACCACTAGAAAAAAATTGTGTTGTTTCCATTTTTTCAGCACCCGTGTTGAATGAGGAAATTAAATTTCATGTTTTTATTTCTTACAATTTTTAAACGCAATAGGACTCATTAAATATCTTTTTATACAAATATTCTTAACAAGCAATATACAGTGCATATAGCTTACTGACTGCTATATATTTATAGTTCAGATCTTATATCTTATCTTATCTATTTGCTTAATTAACATTAAAGGTTAATTATTATATTTAATATTTATCACTGCAAGGTAAGTTACAGTTCAAACGGTTTTTTTCATTTTTAACGATAGAAAAACAATTATGCACATAAATAAATTAGTTTAATAAATGTATAACAAGTTAATATAGTAGTTTATGAAAAACACATTAAAAGTAATTTATTTAAAATTATTTAGTCTACTATTATGGAAGCTGCTAAAAATATAAACTAATAGTTATTTTACTTTTATAGATTTACCAAATGTTTTACTTAAATAAATATTACATACATCTCCCCCCCCCCTCCTCCCTTATAGCGACTCCCTGAATTCTAAAACTGTTCCTATATTGAAGTAGCAATAATAAAAAAAACGCTATTGAAATTCCCTTTTCAGTTACTACACGTAAACTGTTTAAAATTAGTAAATTCTACTCAAACGTTGATCACTTCCTCGCCTGCCCTTACATTTAGGCCTAGTTAGATGCATTTTATCAAAATTTTATGTCAAGGCCTTTATAAATAAAATTAATTAAAACATAAATATTGTAAAAAAAAAAACCAGAGTATATATGTTTTTGTTTTAAATAGGCAATAAAAAATACGAAAAAAAAATATAAATAATACGGTATAATAATAATCTTTTATTGGCACTAAAGTTTTTAAAATTCAACAATAAAACGAATTTGCTTTTATCAATAAAAGTTTTTCCTTTTAATATATGTTAGATATTTATTAAGCAACAAATAATATTTAATTAAAAAAAAAAGTTTCATATTTTTTTAAATTGTAAGTTTTTACATAATGTTTTTACTACTTCCTTAATAATTGAGTTGAAACCACATACAAATTAAATTATGATAAAAACCTACAGTAAGATTGCGATCTCTAACAGACAATTTTCTGACCCTTCATAGTCTGTAGTCGACTCGCAGTAAAAAAAAACAATCAGCAGTGATAATTTTTTCTCCTTGTTCCTCTAGCTAAGTGAGCGATTAGCTCTTGTAATTATTTGTCCTGATGTCTTCCCTTTTATTGTTTGAATTTAGTATTGTCTAATTAGGTTAAAAATGATATATTCTTACCTTATCAGTATGGTATCTGAAAATTTTAATCAACATCGCTGCTTTAGAAAACGGTTATAATCGAAATTCACGGACTGCAATAAATCCACAAAAATAAAAATAAACACACATACAAGCATTGTAAAAAAAATGAAATCGTAAACAATTTGACCTATTTACATTTGCCAGACTTTCGTTTAAAAAAAAAGAATATTAACTTTAAAATAGCCATTGGCCATTTTATAAACTCTTCTCCAGTACTAATCAAAAAGCAATATATATTTGCGCTTAGATAATGAAAGTACATTCATGTTTACCTGTATTAATGTAAAACATGTTATTTACTTTAGTACTTACAGGTAGTACATTTTAAAATTGTAAATCTATACTTGCAGATGATTTGCAGTTTCTAAGTTTTAATTCAATGATGGATTTTGAATATGACAGTTCTCAAACTGTTCTGAAAAACACAGAAAAACTTCTGTTGGATAATATTTTTTTGGATTTTACTGTCAAGGTTGATGACGTTTCTTTGCAATGTCACCGTATTTTTCTGGCAGCGTCGTCACATTTCTTCAGAGCACTTTTAATGACAGACATGAAGGAGGCTAAAGAGGGTTGTGTAACGATCAATGGGATTTCTCTTAAAACATTTCAACACATTTTGAAGTCAATGTATACTGGAAAAGTTTCTTTGACGAAAGATAATTTTATAGACATATGGCAGGCAGCAGATCAACTACAGATAGACTTTATTGTTACACACTGTGAGGATTTCGCTACAAAGGCCATTTCCGTTGAAAACTTTGAAAGCGTTTTGAATACAGCTAAAGCTTTTAAATCCGAAAAAGTGTTGAATGCTTCAAAATCTTTTATGTTAAATAACTTTGGCATACTTATGAACGACAAGTCTATAATGGAGCTCGTAGTTAAAGATTTCAATGAATTGATTGATTCTCGGGATCTAAAAGTAGAAAACGAAGACTGCGTCATACAATCAGTGCTAAATTGGGTGGAGTATGAACCAGAAGAAAAATACAATGGTGAAAAAGAAGACATTCTTACTGACATAAAACATAACACTTCAAAAGAAAATAGTTCTAATAATGAATCTGGTAAAAGTCTTACCGCAGTCCATAAACAAACGTTGAATAAAATAAATCAGAGAACTCAAGCCTTGACAACATTACTAAAGTCTGTGAGGACGTGTCTTGTGAGTACACCACTTCTTAAAGATCTGCTTAATCAGCAATTGATAATCAACAACACTGAAGCTAGAGATATTTTGATTGATGCTGTATTGTATAAGACAACACATTATAACCACGGACAATGGCGAACAAGTGCCATACATCGAGCCTGTAGTATATTGGAGCATTACGGTATTGTGTATATAATAAATAGTAAATTTAATTGTGTATGTGCATGTGAAGATGAGCTTTACCAATGTGTAAGCTGTAGCGATATACCTCTGGACGTAACTTTAGTTGTGTTTGACTCGTATCTATACGCTAGTGGTGTTAAAGACGAATCTCAAACAAACAGCTCTCTGTATGTTTTTTGTAGAAATGTTTGGAACAAAATCACTGAGATACCAGGACGGCAGTTAATTTTAGTGCCATATGAACAGAGTATCTTTATTCTAAGCAAATGCTCTACTGAAATATATCAAATATTCCCTAAATGGGGTAAACCAAAAGTTAAAGAATTTACAAAGCTACCAGACACAATAAAAGTACAACATGCTACAACTTATCAGAGGACGATTCTAATTTTCAGTTCTGTTACCGTCAACAATAAGGAGAAAACTGCAGTTCATCAACTGGACATTTTAACAAAAAAATTAACAGAGTTAGAACAATTGAATGGACCAGCTGAACAGATAATAAGTTTCAGTGATGACTACAATACTTACGTTTTACAAACTGTTGGAGATTTGTGTGTTATAAGCTATTCAGTTCAAAAATTCACATTCAAATTGTTGGGAAGGTTATGGGCTATTAAGAGAAAGTTGTACGGTGCAATGACATACAAGAAACAGTTGACTATCTTTGGTTCTGACCCCAACGAAGAGCCTGCTGAACAAAAACTGCTGTATTCGTTTAAAGAGTACTTTAACTGTATAATATACTGGGGAATTGATAAACCATGTTCAAATTTTATACCAGCTACTCTACCGAAAGATGGAATGGTGCCTTTCTGAAAATAAGTACCAAGTAATGTTATGAATGGTTATTGCGTTTTGGAAAGAGTTTGGGAGTGAGGTTAAGGGCTGTGTTTTTTAGGGTGGGTAAAGTTATTTAGTTATTTTTTTTTACGTTACAAAAGATTAACATTTTTACTTTTCTTATATTAGAACTGGATACATTTGGACTAAACAAATAGCACATTGATCAGGTGTAATTTAAGTAAATATTGCTTTTTTTAGGTGCAGCTGACCCTAAACCTACTTAGAGATGAACATTATTTTTTAGTGCTTTCAACACAGGTATAATATTTTTAAAATAAAGATTAAAATATTCCAGGCTGTAAACTGGAATAATGTAAAGAAAAACAAAATACTCGATCATTGATACTTTCAACTGGTCAACATTCATAGGACAAAAGGAATATTAATGGCATTCTCAGAATTTTACGTTAAAGAGAAGCGTCTACGTGTTGGGATTATTAGTTGGCTGTCGTACAGCTGCTGTAGAGACATGCGCACAACAGCGAGAGGCGACAATAGAAAATTTGTAGTCGCTCTAAATAATCATTTAACACTTCATGGAGGAGCGGTCCAGTGTGGGAATGATGGCTAATTGTGATGTAACAATACTTATTAAGTAGACCAACGCCAAAAGAATCTATGTATGTTTAGGTTTTTTTCATTTTTTTTATTTAAATATCTAATTTATCAGGATAGTTTTATATTGCTTTGATATATTTTGTCTTTTTTTTCAGTTTTATTTTTATTTTTAAGTGGTTAGCTTTAAATATATTTTTTACTAAGAGCAGGTTATATTTTAAATTTATTTTATCTCCTATTGTTGGTAATTGAAAATAGCGTTTAAAATGTTTATACTGGTGATGCGAATGATTAATTTTTTTGAAAAAAAAGAAGTGTTTTTGGGTTAATTCGTTTTATTGGGATTGTATAGAGTTGGATCAGTAGCGGAACTAAAATAAAGGGGCAGAGTGGTGACTCCAAATCGTAAATATAAAATTGTTAAAGAGGGGTCGAGGCGATATCCTTAGTTACTATATCGGATAAACCCGAGCTTGTCATTGCATTTTGAAATTTTTAATCAATTATACTTTGTTTTATACTTTGTTTTATACTTTTAATTTACCGTTCAATACATTTTACGCCATGTATTTGATCAAATACCACAAGTTTTGTTTTACATTGATTCTCATTTATATTTATCTTCTAGACATCTATATACTACTAAAAGTCAAGTTTGTTTACATGTTTGTGTATTTTTTATTTAATTTTTGTTGTTTTTTTGTTTGTCAGTTTGGGTTTTGAGAATTTTGAAAGTTGAATACGTTCCGCTTCCGGTAACCGGAAATCGCTGAAAAGTTACTACATAACAACACATTTGTTTGCACGATTACAATATATCCTATATACTTCGTATACAATTAAGTAAAAAAACGGAGTTTTGCACACCTAAATAAAACTTTAGAGAAAAAAGTATATCTCTTTCATTTAACAGCATCCGTGTTGAAGGAGGAAATTTTATTTCATGTTTTTATTTCTTACATTTTTAAAACGCTGTAGGCCTCATTGAATATCTTGTTATACAAAAAGTCTTATACAAGCAATACAGTGCTTATAGCTTACTAATTACTATATATTTATATTTCATATCTTATATCTCTTTGCTAAGTTACCAATAAAAGGTTATTTTCTTTTATATTTATCAGTGCAGGGTAAGTTACGGCTTAAATGTTTTTTTGTTCATTGTACTATAATAATTCCAACGACGAGTTGAACAAACGATTGTAAGATTCCACTAAATTCACGACCTAATCCTAAGACAACAAGAACAATTCGACCTAAACTTTTTTCTCGGCAACAACGATCCTACAGTTAAACTTCACATTGTTCATCCAGACTCCCTTCCACAACAACAGCATATGTTATGTTCGCGTTTATATTTGCATTATTTTCTGAGTTATTGTTTGCGTTTGTGTGTGTGTTGGAGTTTGTGTATTTGTTTGTGTTCACGTTTCTGTTTGTGTTTCTGTTTGGTTTTGATTGCGATTGATTGTAGTGAGAGTTATTTTATAGTTAAGGTTATTTGTGATATTCTCAATCGTCAGTATGTGATTATTGATACTTAACTGGAAAAGCAATATATTTCCTTAATTCTGGCAATGCCGGGTAGGCTATATGCCGCTTTATATACACACAAGTCACTGCCCTTTACAAATAACTTTTACCACAAACGCTAGTGCAGGGACTGGCAGGGAGGGGTAGTTTATAAAAAAAAATATAAAAACCCAATATGCCAATGAAGATTAAATTTGATTACACATGTATGCGGTCTAATAAAAAGTTATTCTTCTACTTTACCTTAATTCTTTTGTTAAAACAATAATGTTGTAAAATCGATGTTGTCTTTCAGATTCTGCTGGTCTTTTCATTTAATTAGCAGAGCAGATTTTCTTTTTAGATTTATATATTTTAAAAATTGCACTTATTGTTTCAAGTGTTACATAAATTGATCTTATTTTAAAAAGAGTCATTCCAATTTTAACAATGGGCAAAGTATATAAAAGTCCTATTGCATTACTAAATAATAATCATTAAAAAAGTTTTAAAAAACCCACGTTTTCTGATTGAACTAAAAAGTAGAAAATAAATGCTATAGGCCCTACATCACAATAATGCAAGCGATCACTCTACTATAAGCGATCAAAAACGTGGGGCGCCGAAGTAAAAGTTATATTACTATTGATTAGATAATACTATTGACTTTTATTAGGGAGCTTGTAGAGAGTCAACAGTATTAGAAACTGTAAGAAAATCACGGCGCCCCACGTTTTTGCTAGCTTATAGTAGAGTGATCGCTTGCATTATTGTGATGTAGGGCCTATAGCATTTATTTTCTACTTTTTAGTTCAATCAGAAAACGTGGGTTTTTTAAAACTTTTTTAATGATTATTATTTTCTACTTTTTAGTCTTTGTCTGTTTGTTTGCATTAAAATCTTGCTATCGATTTTATCTTTTCACTTTTTTTGGGTAAACGAAGACAACTCGTAAAAAGACAACTCGTAAAAAGACAACTCGTAAAAAGACAACTCGTAAAAAACTCGTTGTTTGAATACGTTACTGACTACAACACATAGATTTGAACCCGTGTCGAGTGGGATAGCAATCGTGTGCCCAACCACTCGACCATATCGTCTCCCCCAAACTGGCCTACCTCCTGTAAGTTTAAACTCGGTTCAAGCTAAATTCTCTGCCCCTAAGCCTGTGGCGACATGTGATCGTTCGCTTCACTGCGCGCGAGGTACGCGTCGCTGGTTTTTTTTCTAATGGCTAGCAGAGGAGAATTATATATATAGATTATATAGCGGTCTAAAATGCTCAATAAAATGTTTCCATTGATCAATTTAGTAATAATAACAATTGAATATTCAATGGTCATCCAAAAGAAAGCTTCCCTGAAAATTTCAGCGCGCTAGCTAACTGGGAAGTGCCAGAAATTTCGATCGCAAGATTTGATTGGAAAGACAAACAAACACACAAACAGAGAAAGCAAGTTAAAGAAAACGTGGGAAAATCTAGAAAGATTACTACTAGAAGATGAATTGTTGGATTTTGCTGTAGAAGTTGAAGATGTTAAGGTTCGGTGTCACCGAGTTATTCTGGCAGCGTCTTCAGATTTCTTTAGAGCACTGTTACGGTGTGAAATGGAGGAAGCAAATGATGGATGTGTTACACTAAATGGAATGTCAGAACCAACTTTTCAACATATTTTAAGGTCAATATATTCCGGAACAGTTATTTTAACGTTGTACAATTTTATAGACGTGTGGAAAGCGGTGGATCAGCTACAAATAAAATTTATGATAGCAGATTGTGAAAAATTTGCCTTAAAAGTAATGTCAGAACACAACCTTGTGAACATATGGAAGTTGGCGGACCAGTTACAGAAACAAGAGATCATAACAAAATGTGAGGGATTCGCTCTGAACGTTTTATCTGATAAGAACTTTAAAAACATTTTTAAAACAACAAAAACCGTAGAATCCAGAAACGTAAAGGATGCTTGTAAAAGTTTTATGTTAAACAAGTTAATTAAAAAATCTAGTGACAATTTTAGCGCAATTTCCTTATGTTATCTAAAAATAGCTCTGACGTATAATGCATTCAAGCTAGGAGAACGATCGGTTTGTAGGTGTTTATGTAATTTTAAAATTTGTGACCGAACCAAATGATATTTTTAAAACTTTCTTCGGCAATATTGTTCTAAATTATGGCAGGAATCGATTGGTAAATGTTTAAGTCGCTAAGTGGTCTTTTTGCCGAGATATGGGCCAAAAACTGCATTTTTTCGATTTTTTTTTGGTTTTTCCGTGAAATCCAGGAAGGAATTCCGGGAATTTTTTTGGCCCACTATCATCCTCGGAACTTGCTTAAGCAATTTGCTTTTGGAACTAGTCCTCGATATTGCTTTGTTGAGGAGGAGATACGACTTAAAGCCGCGAACACACATCCATCCATTCCCAGAAAAGACGAGTTAATAAACGCAATTCTCCAGAATGGAAATTGCGCTAAAAGCTTTGATGGTGTGAGTAGGATGGTTCCTATTATGGAACTTCCTTTTGAAGAGATTCTGAGTTTGATTGAGAGGCGAGATCTTAATGTGAATTCGGAAGATATAGTTCTAGAGATGGTGATAAAATGGGTTGAGTATGTGCCAGAAAACGATGTGGAATTTGCTATCGACAAAATGAGCTTAAGCGATTTCCAATTTGAGAAATGTAATGATCAAAGTACTGAAGAAAAATTGGTTGAGGATTCCGATAATATTTATCATGACGTTTCTGACTGTGTTGAATTACCTGTGTTGAAGTCGGTAATAGGATTCAATTGTTGGCAACTTTATTGAAGTCTGTAAGGATGTCACTTGTGAATACTCCAATATTGGATTATTGTCTAAAGCATAAGCTAATGCTTTACAATACTGAAGCAAGAGATATTCTAATCAACGCAGTATTGTCTAAAATGACACATTATAACCACGTTCAATGGCGAACAAGTGCCATACATCGTGCTTGTAATGAATTGGAAAACTGTGGACTAGTGTATGTCATAAACGGTAACTTTAATATTATAACTGCTTTTGACGAAAATCTTTACAAGTGTTTAAAGATTGATGAATTACGGCTTGATGTTACATTAGTAGTTTTTGACTCATATTTGTATGTCACAGGTGTTAAAGAGGCAGCGCAAAAAATAGCAGTTTGTGTGTTTTTAGTAGAAACGAATGGAACAAAATAGCTGAAATACCAGGCCGACAGTTAATTTTAGTGTCATATGAACAGTGTATCTTCATTTTTAGCAAAACTGCAACAGATATACTTCAAATATTTCCTATACAGCGGAATCCTAAAGTTGAATAATTTACTAAACTTCCAGAAACAACAAAACTACAACATGCTATAAATTATCATAGGATTATTCTGATTTTCAGTTCTGTTACCACCAATGGTGTAGAAAAGACTGTAGTTCATCAGCTGAACATTCTAACCAAGGAGTTAACAGAATTAGAACAATTGAATGGACCAGCGGAACAGATAATTAGTTTCAGTGATGACAACAATACCTATGTACTACAAACAACTGGAGATTTGTGTAGAATTGATTGTTTAGCTGGACATGTTACATTCAAATGGTTGGGAAGATTATGGGATAGAAAGCGAAAACTGCATGGTGCTTTGACATACAAACAAAAGCTAATTATTTTTGTCAAATTGTTGGGAAGATTATGGGATAGAAAGCGAAAACTGCATGGTGCTTTGACATACAAACAAAAGCTAATTATTTTTGGTCCAATGAATGAACCAGCGGAACAGAAACGTGTATCTCAGTTTGAAGGTTATTTTCACGACATACAGTACTGGGGCAATAATTCTCCCTGTTCGAATTTTATTCCAGTTGTTCTCCCAAAAATATTATGTTGCCAATTGAAAAGAAATAATAGGTAATGTGTTGCTTTTCTATAAATTTTTGTAATGTAAAACATTCATTAAATAGAATGTATAAACACAACACAGACCTAAAATCGATAAGCCTATTCCGCAATTTTTTCCACCAATCTTCCT